CATGGCTGGCTGAAGGATCTGGCTGCTCATGGCTGGCCGACGGATCTGGCTGCTCATGGCTGGCCGACGGATCTGGCTGCTCATGGCTGGCTGACGGATCTGGCTGCTCCTGGCTGGCCGACGGATCTGGCTGCTCATGGCTGGCCGACGGATCTGGGCTGGCTGGCCGACGGATCTGGCTGCTCATGGCTGGCCTGACGAATCTGGCTGCTCATGGCAGGCTGACGGATCTGGCTGATCCTGTCTGGCCGAAGGCTCTGGCTGATCCTGTCTGGCGGAAGGCTCTGGCTGATCCGGTCTGGCGGAAGGCTCTGGCTGATCCGGTCTGACGGAAGGCTCTGGCTGCTCCTGTCTGGCAGAAGGCTCTGGCTGATCCTGTCTGGCGGAAGGCTCTGGCTGATCCTGTCTGGCGGAAGGCTCTGGCTGATCCTGTCTGGCGGGAAGGCTCTGGCTGATCCTGTCTGGCGGAAGGCTCTGGCTGATCCTGTCTGGCGGAAGGCTCTGGCTGATCCTGTCTGGCGGAGAGCTCTAGCGGCTCCGGTCTGGCGGACGGCTCTGAAGGCTCATGGCAGACGGGCGGCTTTGCAGGCTCAGTACAGACGGCAGTTCAGGCGCCGTTGGGCAGACGGGCAGTTCAGACGGCGTTGGGCAGACGGGCAGTTCAGACGGCGTTGGGCAGACGGGCAGTTCAGGCGCCGTTGGGCAGACGGGCAGTTCAGACGGCGTTGGGCAGACGGGCAGTTCAGGCGCCGTTGGGCAGACGGGCAGTTCAGGCGCCGTTGGGCAGACGGGCAGTTCAGACGGCGTTGGGCAGACGGACAGTTCAGGCCCCGTTGGGCAGACGGCAGACTCTGGCCGTCTGAGGCGCACCGTAGGCCTGGTGCGTGGTGCCGGAACTGGAGGTACCGGGCTGAGGACACGCATCTCAGGGCTAGTGCGGGGAGAAGCAACAGGGCATGCTTGGCCCTGGGGACGCACCGTAGGCCTGATGCGTGGTGCCGGAACTGGAGGTACCGGGCTGAGGACACGCATCTCAGGGCTAGTGCGGGAAGCAGCAACAGGGCATGCTTGGCCCTGGGGACGCACATAAGGCCTAGTGCGGAGAGCAGCAACAGGGCATGCTGGACCCTGGGGACGCACATAAGGCCTAGTGCGGAGAGCAGGAACAGGCCGGGCTGGGCTGGCGACGCGCACCGTATCCCTGGTGCGAGAGGCCGGAACAGGCCGGGCCGGGCTGGCGAAGCGCACCGTATCCCTGGTGCGTGGAGTAGGAACAGGCCGGGCTGGGCTGGCGACGCGCACCGTATCCCTGGTGCGAGTGGCCGGAACAGGCCGGGTCGGGCTGGCGTAGCACACCGTGGACCTGGTGCTTGGAGTAGGAACAGGCCGGTCCGTACCGGGAACACACACCACTGGCCTCAACCGAGGATCAGGAACGGGCCGGACCGGACTGGCAACACACATCAGTCCTTCACGCCGTGCCACAAACACTTCCCTCCCTCTACTCGCCAATGGCTCCCGTACTCCGTTAGCCTTCTCTCCTTTTCTCCCTGTGGCAGCCTCCTGCTGCCCAGCCGCCCAAGCCATGTGCCCCCCCCCAAAAAACTTTTTGGGGTTGCCTCCCGTCCTTCCGACGATGGCCCTGCCGATGCCGTTGCTCCTCTCCTGCCAGGTTCTCCCCCTTCATCGCCCTCCGGTACCGGACGGCCTCCTCCTGGGTAATATGTCCCCAGCCGAGGAGGACATCCACCAACGTTCTCTCCTGACCCGGCGCCTCCTCCCATGTCCAGACCCTTTGCTCCTGGACGCGCTGCTTGGTCCTTTTGTGGTGGGTTATTCTGTCACGATCGTCTGATGAATGAACGGACCAAAGCGCAGCGCGTTGAGTGAACATGATAACTTTAATAAAGTAAAGCACGTAAATACAAAACAAACGACGATTCGTGAAGTCCTCTGCTAAACTGACAGAAACGGAACAATAACCCACAATGCCCACAAGAACACATACAGAATAAATATGGCTCCCAATCAGAGATAACGAGCCGACAGCTGACACTCGTTACCTCCGATTGGGAGTCATATGACTAATCAACATAATACAACACTTTGACACCCAACATAGAACCAAACCACATAGACTGCACACACCCTGGCTCAACATAATGAGTCCCAGAACCAGGGTGTGACACAAATACTGTAAGGCAAGTCTACAATAAAGGCTTTTTTAAAACACTTAAGTGGCGTGATTACCAAAACATAATGTACAGACATCTGAAATGTCGAAAGACAATACATATTTTCACTGGGACTAAACTGCATTCAAGTGTATATGCAAGTTAAAAAAACAAAAAACATCAGTATGTACAGAATTCAATCTCAATCTGTTCAGTTTTTGCTACATTCCAAGGACCTTAGTTCTGTTTATCTTCACTCCTTTCTAAATCCCTTATTCCTTTTTCAACTTAACTTTTCAGCTCAATGCCAAAATGGTGCCAGAACAGTACAGATGTTTCGATTCGCAATTCAAGCAAAGACACAAAGTTACAGCACATTGATTTTGTCCTTTTTTAGAGCATCGCTGTTAGAGGAAAAGGAAACGATCGGGTGAATAATAAGTCACATAAAGTAATGCTGTGGGAATGTAAGGGCTGGCCAGTGAAGGTGTGATCGGGCCTGGCCCCCGCTACCTGTGCACTGTGTGTAAAGGGAAGTGTAAGTCTGGAACATAATAGTAAAGTAAACACTCACCACGCCTCATTGACTATACTTTAGCAGGCTCCTACACATCACTGTTGGCCATACACCCATTCAACTGGCCTGAAATGTACCTCCTGACTGTCTCATTGCGCCATTCATGTGGAATTCCTAGCTACCATGATAAATCTCTACATTGAAAAAAGATGTCAACCGGGTGCAATCCTTTCACAGCTTTGAGATGGGTTAATGATAACGACTTGTTAACAACGTGTTAACAACATGTGTACTTCTGATAACAAAATGGCCTCAAACCCGTTTTGAGGTCACCTTGGACTGCTCATACAGTATAACCATAGCGTCTATTAGGTTTCACATTACATTTTTTAGTTTTAATTGCATTCTTTTCATATCATTGTGATCGTTCTGCCCTTGTGGTCACCTTTTTTTAAATTTAATGATATTTGGATGAAACCAGATCAAAGTAGGACTACCAAAGTATGAAAGTATGCTGCCACCACCATGCTTCACCATAGGGAACGTGCCAAGTTTCCTCCAGACATGATGCTTGGCATTCAGGCCAAAGAGTTCAATCAATCTTGGTTTAAATCAGACCAGATAATCTTGTTTCTCATGGTCTGAGAGTCCTTTAGGTGCCTTTTGGCAAACTCCAAGCGAGTTGTCATGTGCCTGTTACTGAGGAGTGGCTTCCGTCTGGCCACTCTACCATAAAGATTGTCTCTACCACATGGTTGTCCTTCTGGAAGGTTCTCCCATCTCCACAGAGGAACTCTGGAGCTCTGTCAGAGTGACCATCAGGTTCTTGGTCACCTCCCTGACCAAGGCCCTTCTCCCCCAATTGCTCAGATCTGTGCCTCTACAAAATCCTGTCTCGGAGCTCTACAGACAATTCCTTAGACCTCATGGCTTGGTTTTTGCACTGACATGCACTGTCAACTGTGGGACCTTATATAGACAGGTGTGTGCCTTTCCAAATCATATCCAATCAATTGAATTTACCACAGGTGGACTCCAATCAAGTTGTTAAAACATCTCAAGGATGATCAATGGAGACAGGATGCACCTGAGTTGAATACTTATGTAAATAAGGTATTTCTGTTTTCTATTTTCTATAAATTTCGATTATTTTTTAAAATCCATTTAAAAATAAGGCTGTAAGGTAACAAATTGTGGAAAAAGTAAAGGGGTCTGAATACTTTCCAAACGCACTGCACCGTATATATATATTAATTAATGAAAGTTACCCAGACCTCACCCTGTACAGTTTCAACTGAAATTGTCCAAGATGAACTAGCTAGCTAGCTTGATAAACAGTGCTGACAATTCCATTTGGGCTAGCTAGTTAAATTATACAGCCAACATTTGTGTCTATATTGATGCTGTTACAATAACCAAACAGTTGGCTAAACAAATCATTTGTGAAACCATGTGTAACGTATACGCCGGGAGTCAGGCGCAGAAGGTGAGTTTAATAATAAAATGATAAACAAGAACAAACATAAGCCGCATACTGAACGTGAGAGAGATCAGTACCACCTAATGACTGATGACAAGTGAGGGCTAAATAAAGGGGGAGTAATCAAGGAGCAAATGATGAGTAGGTGTGCGTAATAATAGGAAGCAGGTGTGCGCAATGATGGTTGCCAGGACCGGTGTTTAGTAGACTGGTGACATCGAGCGCTGGAGGGAGGGAGCAGGAGTGACACCATGATGTGATGTATGACAGGATTGGAAGTTACATGCAATTCCAATGTTGTTTGAGTTGTTTTGTGTATCAGCAAATATGCTTGAGATAATGTCACTGCAACACTGCATCCATGTTGCTTGACTTACGCGTTTTCAAAGAACAGTCAGTCAAGTTGAGCTCCCCGCCCACTCAGCCTACTAGCTCCACTCAGTCTGTCTTTTCAGACATCCTGGTAGTTTGACATGAGAGAACAATTTGAGCATTTATAGCAGGAAAAAATATTATGGGTGATGTTTCAGTCACTCAAAAGGCTATTTTATATGGGAACCAGAATGACTGTTGAGGTCAAGTCTGTGATATCAGAACAGAGCAGGATCAGTCAGATTTGTAGAATTGCAAACAAACACATAAAATGCCATTTTAAAATGCTGGTTCCACCAGGAGGTGTTTGCCTTCTGAACAGTGTGATTTCACAACAGGCTATGTTGAGCAGTGTGCATTCACAGCAGTCTATCATGTGTATGTTTGTTTGTGTGCACAGTGAACTGAATCTCCAGCAGCTCTGCCCCCCGGAAGCTAACTCTGCCCATGGCTCATTTCATTTCCCATCGTTGTTGCCTTCCTCTGCAGCAACTAACTTGATTTCTGCGTTAGCCGTGCGCGACGTGACACTGCTGTCTCTCACTTTGTTTTTGAACAGGAAGGGGAAAGTCTTCTTAAAGGACTTGCGAAAACTGGCTCCCATGAAGCCGTAAACGATTGGGTTGATGGAGGAGTTAGCGTAGGACATGCAGTTAGCCCACGTCTTGATCTTATAGGTGACGTAATTGACCCTGTAGTTGGGGTAGAAGGACTGGAACAGGGCGAAGAGCTGGATAGGCCCCCAGCAGATGGTGAATAGGAGGACAATCACCACCACCATCTTGGAGATCTTACTCCTCAGAGTGATTGTCCTCTCAGACAACAGGTGGACCTGTAGTAGAAATGTTGAAGTTACCTCACTACTACTGTGACGGGCTTAGAAATGACCTATACTGTATGTAGTTAAAATCATGGCCACAGGCTAAGGGTCTTTATTAACATACTGTAGTATACCTGCAAATTGGAAGGGATCCAAATATGAACTCATGCTTTCATTGTGTAACCTTGACAAAGGAGCGCACCTATTAAGGTTGTAAACTAAGTCATAAAGGAACACCCAAAGTAATATTCTTTCCTTACCTGGTAATTATTGTCTACAGGTTCCACTGATGGCTGGCCCACCCTCTTCAGCATGAGTGTGTAGCAGAAGGAGATGGTGATGACAGGTAGCAGGTAGGCAGCTATGAACTGATACAGGATGAAAGCCCTCTCCTGGGTCTTCGAGGGAAACCTCTCCATGCAGTAGTGTCTTGGTCCATACCAGTAGCCCTCCTCAATCCTCTGGTACATGAAGATCGGGGTGGATAGAATGAAGGAACCTTTAAAAAAACAAATTTCATTAGTTTAATTTGATAGAAAATGTTCAAGTGTTCAGGATGCTTTGAACCAAAAATCCATGGTTTGCTATCTGTTCAGTTAGGGTAGCATATGACTTACCGATCCATATGCAGATGCTAACTATCATGGCGACTCGTGGAGTGCGATGGCGTAAGGACTTCAGAGGGTAGACTGTGACATAGCAGCGGTCCCCACTCATAGCTGTGAGTGTAATGCATGTGGCTTGAACAGTCACCTAAGAAAAGAAAATAACAAAATAATCTTGATTGTTTACAGGTGAAACAAGATTAAGAATATTACACCAGAGACATGCTGTAAACTACATGTGAATTCATATAAATGGCACTTGCCTGCTCTCACACTGGGAACTAATTAAAATTATGAGCATATAATGAGAACATTTTACTTTACAAAGACATTTATCTCAAATCATTATTAACTCATCCTCCTGGGTTACCAGAAGTGTCATTCCCATTATTTTACAAATGTATAGGATAAAAATACAAACAAAAAATCTAGTTTCTTTCACACAGAATTAATAAAATAATTTTGAATTTGGAGATCAGTTCCCCCTAAAGAATAATGGAATGGTTGCATGATGCCTTTGAGGGTCGGTGACAATCTGTGTTAACAGATAAGCAGGGTCTAAACAACGTATTGTTGTTACACATCACTCTGAGAGTGGGAGTTGTGACCTACTTCAGTGTAACTACAGTACTTGAGATCTATCTAGCGCCCTGGTCTTTCATTGAAGAGCAAAACGGGGCCAGTTCCGGTGTACATCATTGATCCGAAGATCAAGTGCCCTCTTGTCATAATGTAGGGACAGAATGCATTTGCCTCTTGAACAAAGAGAACCACTGCATGTGGGTTGAAAAAACAAATATATAATCAATTAACAATCAACATATTAACACAAAACAGCAAAGAATTCCAACTGATATTAAAATAGGTTCAACAACGTTTGAATCAATTAATCCTCCCACTTACACACTGCCCACATAAAACAATCCTACAGTTTTACTATAGAATACTACAGTACTTACTATAGAATTCTGTAGTATACTGTGGAATACTATAGTAAATACAACAGTATTATCCCAAAAAACACTGTAGTAAATATTACAGTAATGTCCGCAAAAACACTAGTTTTTTAACTATAGTAAACTACAATATTTAATTTACATATACCCTGCAACATTCCCCTCCCCCATTGTGCCACCCATAAGTGAGAAACCTACATGCCAAATATAGACCATATATAGTGTTCCCTACAGGTTATAGAAAAGAGCAAAAGCTCTGAACTATCAGTTCAGATGCTAGTCCTACCTACCTACCTACCTACCTACAGGTTATGGAACATTTCTCCAGTAGGTTTCCTCAAGGAGAAAGCCTCCAATTGTATGTAAAATAAAATAAAACAAAAACACTATAGGAAATACAACAGCAATGTCTAAAATCACTACAGTACAGACTACAGTATACTACAGTCTGCAAAACATTACATGAATGTTCAATATGCACAAAAATAGTATTTAAAAAAAAAATGTTTACATCCCTGTCAGTGAGTATTTCTCTTTTGCCATGATAATCCATACACCTGACAGGTGTGGCATGAAGCTGATTAAACAGCATGATCATTACACAGGTAAACCTTGTGCTGGGGACAATAAAAGGCCACTCTAAAATGTGCAGTTTTGTCACACAACACAATGTTGCCAGAGAATTGCTGTTGCCAGAGAATTTAATGTTAATTTCTCTACCATAAGCCGCCTCCAACGTTGTTTTAAAGATTTTGGCAGTACGTCCAACCGGCCTCACAATCGCAGACCACGTGAAACCACACCAGCCCAGGACCTCCACATCCGGCTTCTTCACCTACGGGATCGTCTGAGACCAGCCACCTGGACAGTTGATGAAACTATGGGTTTGCACAACCGAATAATTTCTGCAGAAACTGTCAGACACCGTCTCAGTGAAGCTCATCTCAGTGCTCGTTGTCCTCACCAGGGTCTTGACCTGACTGCAGTTCGGCGTCGTAACTGACTTCAGTGGGCAAATGTTCACCTTCGATGGCCACTGGCAAACTGGAGAAGTGTGCTCTTCACGGATTAATCCCGGTTTCAACTGTACCGAGCAGATGGCGGATGTGTGGGCGAGCGGTTTGCTGATGTCAATGTTGTGAACAAAGTGCCCCATGATGGTGGTGGGGTTATGGTATGGGCAGGCATAAGCTACTGACAACAAACACAATTGCATTTTATCAATGTCAATTTGAATGCACAGAGGCCCATTGTCGCACCATTCATCCGCCACCATCACCTCATGTTTTAGCATGATAATGCACGGCCCCATGTCACAAGGATCTGTACACAATTCGTGGAACCTGAATATGTCCAATTTCTTCCATGGCCTGCATACTCACCAAACATGGCACCCATTGAGCATGTTTAGGATGCTCTGGATCAATGTATACGACAGCGTGTTCCAGTTCCCGCCAATATCCAGCAACTTCGCACAGCCATTGAAGAGGAGTAGGACAACATTCCACAGGCCAAAATCACCAGCCTGATCAACTTTATGCGAAGGAGAATGTCACACTGCATGAGGCAAATGGTGGTCACACCACACACTGACTGGTTTTCTGATCCACGCCCCTGTTTTTTTAAAGGTATCTGTGACCAACAGATGCATATCTGTATTCCCAGTCATGTGAAATCCATAGATTAGGGCCTAATTCATTTTTTTCAATGGACTGATTTCTTTATATAAACTGTAACTCAGTAAAATCGTTGAAGTTGTTGCATATTGCGTTTATATTTTTGTTCAGTGTATTTATACCATAGTATACTATAGTTATTTTTCTATGTAGGTGTACAGCAGCAGGGATATTCGCATTTGTGGGGGAGTAGTCTGCCAAAGATATACACTGCTCAAAAAAATAAAGGGAACACTTAAACAACACAATGTAACTCCAAGTCAATCACACTTCTGTGAAATGAAACTGTCCACTTAGGAAGCAACACTGATTGACAATAAATGTCACATGCTGTTGTGCAAATGGAATAGACAACAGGTGGAAATTATAGGCAATTAGCAAGACACCCCCAATAAAGGACTGGTTTTGCAGGTGGTGACCACAGACCACTTCTCAGTTCCTATGCTTCCTGGCTGATGTTTTGGTCACTTTTGAATGCTGGCGGTGCTTTCACTCTAGTGGTAGCATGAGACGGAGTCATCCAGGATGGCACATCAATGCGAGCTGTGGCAAGAAGGTTTGCTGTGTCTGTCAGCGTAGTGTCCAGAGCATGGAGGCGCTACCAGGAGACAGGCCAGTACATCAGGAGACGTGGAGGAGGCCGTAGGAGGGCAACAACCCAGCAGCAGGACTGCTACCTCCGCCTTTGTGCAAAGAGGAGCAGGAGGAGCACTGCCAGAGCCCTGCAAAATGACCTCCAGCAGGCCACAAATGTGCATGTGTCTGCTCAAACGGTCAGAAACAGACTCCATGAGGGTGGTATGAGGGCCCGACGTCCACAGGTGGGGGTTGTGCTTACAGCCCAACACCGTGCAGGACGTTTGGCATTTGCCAGAGAACACCAAGATTGGCAAATTCGCCACTGGCGCCCTGTGCTCTTCACAGATGAAAGCAGGTTCACACTGAGCACATGTGACAGACGTGACAGAGTCTGGATACGCCGTGGAGAACGTTCTGCTGCCTGCAACATCCTCCAGCATGACCGGTTTGGCGGTGGGTCAGTCATGGTGTGGGGTGGCATTTCTTTGGGGGGCCGCACAGCCCTCCATGTGCTCGTCAGAGGTAGCCTGACTGCCATTAGGTACCGAGATGAGATCCTCAGACCCCTTGTGAGACCATATGCTGGTGCGGTTGGCCCTGGGTTCCTCCTAATGCAAGACAATGCTAGACCTCATGTGGCTGGAGTGTGTCAGCAGGCATTGATGCTATGGACTGGCCCGCCCGTTCCCCAGACCTGAATCCAATTGAGCACATCTGGGACATCATGTCTCGCTCCATCCACCAACGCCACATTGCACCACAGACTGTCCAGGAGTTGGCGGATGCTTTAGTCCAGGTCTGGGAGGAGATCCCTCAGGAGACCATCCGCCACCTCATCAGGAGCATGCCCAGGCGTTGTAGGGAGGTCATACAGGCACATGGAGGCCACACACACTACTGAGCCTCATTTTGACTTGTTTTAAGGACATTACATCAAAGTTGGATCAGCCTGTAGTGTGGTTTTCCACTTTAATTTTGAGGGTGACTCCAAATCCAGACCTCCATGGGTTGATAAATTTGATTTCCATTGATAATTTTTGTGTGATTTTGTTGTCAGCACATTCAACTATGTAAAGAAAAAAGTATTTAATAAGATTATTTAATTCATTCAGATCTAGGATGTGTTATTTTAGTGTACATCATAGAGAGAGCTGGTCCTTTTGATGACCAAGAAAAACCTAAACAAAGGACTAGAGTCTGTGTAGAAGTTTTGTTGAGCATCAGTCATGATTTTCAAACCTTCAAATAATAATAATACATTTTATTTGCGCCTTTCAAGATCCCCATGGAAACTTAGAGTAAGAATAAAATAGCAAATATAAAAATAGCTTTTGCTAAAAAAAAAATGTTTAATGTGACATTATGTTTCTCACTCCTTAAATTGACTCATTTCAGATATATTTCTCCCTGGTTAAATTGAGTTCAATTCCATTCAATATAGTTCAGGTCAACACAATGAAATGTGTTTGGTAACATCCTGTGGCTAGCTGACTTGTAAACCAAAGGTCCTTCAGTGAAAGCCCTGGTTTAATGAGTGGATGTGTGGGATTGACAAAGCTCAAAGGAACCCCCTGGTGGCTGATGATGGTTCATGTGGTGAAGAGAGAGCTCTGACTGACGATAGCATGGTGCATGATGCTTAAATCTCTCTTCTAACTTGCTCATCATAACATTTTTGCACCTTGCACTTTTGTACTATGCATTTAAATGTGTTTTGACAGACTTCTGGGTCAAGAGATGATCATTACGCCATACTGTGGTGAAAATGAAACACTCCACACTGACAGCTGAGATTGGATCCTAGGATAGGTGTCTATGTCTATCTATGCTCAGAACTTTAGTAATTTACCAATCCAACAGATTAGTTTTAATCATGCAAACCTGCTTGAAGCTGTGATTAATTGCAAGAAGCCTGATGGACTGTTTGTCTCCATTTT